TGGAGATGGGATGTTGTATTTGGAGGGAAATAGTGTAATGTAATATTAGAAAGAGAAATGCCTTCTTCCAATGAATGTGATGTAGCATTATCTAGCAGAAGCAAAATGTGACATCTTGCTTTTCTCATATCTTCATTTAATTTTGTAAGCCAATGATAAAACACAGATGATTGCATCCAGGCACACGAATTCCAATAATAAAAAACAGGCAAAGTTTTCTTATCAATATTTCTTAAACATCTAGGGTCTTTATACTTATGAATGAAAAGAGGTGTTAATTTGGATGTTCCTGTAGCATTACAGGTAAGTAAAACAGTAACTCGGTCCTTTGGTCTTTTAGTGCCCGAAAGTGGTCCACTAGCAAGAGTTTTGGAAGGTTCTAGCTTCCAGTAAAGTGCAGTTTTGTCGCAATTGTATACATCATCAAGATTCCATTGACTAAGAAGATTTTTGAGATTATCACGATATTGTGACAATTCTTCCAAAGGTGCGGAATTTGCCTCACCACAACGAACATGTTCAGAAATATTGTATCGTCTTTTAAATCTATCAAACCACCCATTTGATCCTTTGAAGTCATTTATCTGAAAATGTTGGGCAAAAACTTTAGCTTTTGAAATAACAATATGCCCAGATAAAGTACAATTATCACTTGCTGCCTGATCAATCCAGAGTGCTAATGATTGTTCAATTTCTGGATATTTTGTTGATCTCTCACGATATGAATTTGCAGTGAATTGATTTGGATTCAATGATAAAAAATAATCACTCTTTTTTAGAATATCAGAAACAGTAGATTCACTGGCATTGTATTTAAATGCAAGCTGGTTATTTTTTATGTTTGGGTCTTTATTTTTTTCAATGCATATTTCTATTTTTTGTGAGATTGTTATAGGCGTATGTTTTCTTTTTGATACCCCAACTTCTTTTTCAGTAGTTTTTTTTTTTTTTTTCCTCTTGTTTGCACTAGAGGAAGGTCTATGATTATTATTTGCTATTTCCATGATAATTTTTTACATATGTATTTGTATAACTTGTATATTATTATTATTGGTCCAATTTTTATTTCACTTCGGTTTATAAAGATCAATCTTCAGTTTATAAAAATTCGGATTAACGGGGCAATTTTACATATAAATGGCTTCAAAAAATTTAAAAATTTCTTCGGTTTACGGTTTATAGAGCTATATTAGTGACATTCGGATTAACGGGGTAATTTACATATGTTTGGCTTTGGTGTTTTAAAAATTATTCATTTTAACGTGGTTTTCGGATTAACGGGGTTGCCTATGTATTTTGAATAAATTATTAATACTAATATTAACTGAATTTGGTGTAACTAATAAAATATTGGGGTAGTAGATCAATTTTAAATTTTATGCAAATTAATTTAAAAAATTATTCGTTGCCCAATTACTCATTTTTTTATTAAGTAAACATGGTTTGAAAATTTTTCCAGTTATAGTTCCAATGTTACTGATTGATGTTATGTAAAAAAGTCAATCTTGTCAACCTCATTAACCATGTTTTTGTAATCATTGCTTTTTTTGGCAAATATATTCAAATAATCTTCTTCATTTAAAAATGTTTTGACATCTAAAACTGGGTCTATATCAATAGTAAAAGAGATATTATCCTTATATTCGGCAGAAAAAGTTGATATTTTCCTAATGCCATTTTTTTGGTCATCAGTCGCAGCTAATCCTATTAATTTTAGGTCTTTGATTTTTGCTATTTTGGAAAAAAAGACTTATACCCGGTTTTTCCTAGAAAACCCCCCATATGTTGAAAAACTAATAATTATATTTGAAGAGATACTACTACCATTTGCTTCTACCAACCCAACTTCTTTCCACACTACTTTTATTTGATTATTAATAATATCCACGTAAGCATATTGATTATTATCATAATATCTAATTGCCCAATCTTCGCTACCAAGTAAATCCCTTAATTTCTCATCACCTTCTTCTCCCATGAATGA